CTGTGGAGATGGTGGGGAAGCGGTAACGGTCACCGTGGAGATGGTGGAGCAGCGGTAATGGTCACCGTGGAGATGGTGGGGCAGTGGTAACGGTCACTAGGTTTGTAATCCAGAGGCCCTAGACCACCTCTAGAGAAATGGGTAAAAATCCCACCACAGCGGCTGGAGGCATTTAAATTCAGTTAACCCTGTCTGGCATCGAAAGCTACCCTTGGCAATGGTGACCGTGAAACTATCACTGATTGTTACGTTCAGGGAAGGAAATTCACCATCCTTACTCGGTCTGGCCTGCATGTGACTCCAGACCTAAAGCCATGTGGTTGATTCTTAACTGCCCTCTGAAATGGCCCTGCAAGCCACTCAGCTCAAGGGTAATGATAATTGGGCAACAAATGGTTTTGTCAGCGATGAGCACACCCCATGAAAGGAAAGCCACACAAACTGTGGGATCTCGGCAAGGAGAGGTTTTTCTGAGTGCTGGACCATGATGTATGTTCTTGTTGTTTACTGGGCGTGGTGAGGATTTGGAATGCATCCCCTTTATAGGATTTGTAGATTTAATTGTACCCATTTGAAGGGGAACTGAATAAATACTTTAAGGGGAGAAAAAGTTAAGTCTGGTGTGTGGGAGAGTAGCTGGTGAGTAGGACTAACTGGATTGCTGTTTGAAAGAGATGGTGAGACCTCGATGGGCTGAACAGCCATTTTCTAGACTGTACGCTGTTCTGGGACACATGAGTTACTTAATAGTCCCTGAGTTTCTTCTTTGCTTTGTTTCCGATTTAAATTATTTCTTTATCTTTAAGTTAGAGTAGCTTTTGCTTGAGATCCTTTCAGCCGCGGGGTAAGGATTTGTACTGGTGTGGTGGCTGTTGCAGGGGTACTGTGGAGATTCCTGTTCAAGCTGCTGCGATGATGTGAGGTTTGTGGCTCTGCCATTCGGGGAACTGATACATCGAGAGCCATGCTCTTTTCCATTTATGGGGTTGGGAGAGAGAGAGAGAGAGGCATCACTGATGAATCTTACTGACAGCTAGCTAACAGAACAGTGACTGACAGCAGGAGAATGTCACCTGCTCATCCCATCAGCCTGGGAATGATCACTCGGATATCAGAGGCATGACTGAACAGGGAGAAAACGATGGAAAAATTGCATCTCTCTTTTCATCGAGTGCACTTAGCAATTTGTAAAGACAGCTGTCCTCGTGAGGAAGCAGCTTTTCCGATTAAAAATGAAAAGCGAAGGAAGCAACTTCATAATTCGAGTGAATTGCACTCAACAGTTGCACGTTGAGTGACCTCCTGTGGGTCTGTTCGCTCTATCACGTGACACCAGTGTTGCAAAGTACGATGGAAGGATGCCATGCTTGGTGTTTTTGTAAAACAAAACAGTAGCACTTTGTAGACCATGTATACTTCACATCTTGTAGTTACAGCCTGTTAATATAGATAGATCTTCTCTGCAGTTATGGTGAATCCTGACTGTCTGAGATTGTATATGGTTGTGGAACCCCTGTGAATTGATAAACCCTTCCCCTTTCGAATGATGTTATCCCATCGTTCCCCAGGAACGACTCCGTCCCTTCCTGGAGAAGGCTAACCCTGTTTCACTGACTAACGCAGTGTTGGTCTTATTTCCCAAAGTGACTTTGTAGCGGGGATATCTTCCAGGAGCGAATAGAGTAGCAGCCTTCGTAGGGCGGAAGCTGTAACAAAAGCAGGAATCGAGACAGTGCAATCAACGCTGTTACAAAATCTCCGGCAACGCAGTTCACCCGGTTTCGTTCTGTCTCCCACAATCCGAGATCTCGTTTTCCGAGCGTCGGGCGTTTTCGCAACCAGCCCTTGTGGAAGTGTCTGACTTTGGTTAGAGCCTGAACCGATGGGAGAGCTCCAACTGAAGCCTGCTTTTCTTTGACCACAGGCTCGTTTCCGTGGTTACCTGTATCATAATTGTCCTGAGGAAACAGATGCTTCCAGAGAAGTGTGTGCTGTAGATAATGGGGACCAGGGCTGAAGTGACAGTCGATATGCATCTGGACATGTGGTTTTCATTTCAGAATCCAGTCACGGATTTTTGTTTCCTGATTTTTTTTTTTTGTCATACGCATTCCCTTGATCATTTTGACTTTCTTTTCTTCCCAACCAAATCACACATTGCGTCCTTAACTGATAAGACCATAAGAAATAGGAACAAGAGTAGGCCATTCAGCCCCTTTGAGCCTGCTCTGCCATTCAATAGGATCATGGCTGATCCAATATTCCTCACCTCCACTTTCCTGCCCTTGCCCCATAACCCTTGATTTCCCCATAGATCAAGAATCTACCTCAGCCTTAAATTTCCACCAATGTCTCTGCCCCCACACACAGCTCTCTGTGGCAGGGAGTTCCATAGACACTCAACCCCCTGAGAGAAGAAATTCCACCACATCTCAGTTTTAAGCTGGCACCCCTTTATTCTGACACTACGATCCAGCATAATTAGTTGATTTCTGATCCTGAGCTAAGCCAGCATTTATGGTCCATCCCTAATTGCCCTTCAGAGAGTGGTAGTGAGCCATCTCCTTCAACAGTAACAGTCCTAGTGGCATCGGGTCACCTGCAGTGCTATTCGGAAGGGAATTCCGGGATTTTGACCCATTGACAATGGAGGAATGATGGGGGTGTTCCGACGTCCGGGCGAAGTGAGACTCGGAAGGAAGTTTTCTAGTAGGGGTGTTCCCAACATCCACAGATTCACTACCCTCGGAGTCTGACAGTTGTACAGCTCGAAACAGACCCTTCAGTCCAACTCGTCCACACCAACCAGATATCCCAATCTGACCAAGTTATATTTTCCAGCATTTGGCCCATATCCCTCTAAACCCTTCGCATTCATGTACCCATCCAGATGCCTTTTAAATGTTTGTAATTGTACCAGCCTCCACCACTTCCTCTGGCAGCTCATTCCATACATGCACCACCCTCTGTGTGAAAAAGTTGTCCTTAGGTCCCTTTTAAATCTTTCCCCTCTCTCCTCAAATCTATGCACCTCTAGTTTTGGACTCCCCCACCCTGGGGAAAAGATGGCGGGGGACGTTTCCCAGTGTCGGACCTGCTGAATGGTGACGTACTTGAATCGTTGAACGCCCAGATACAGGCCATTTTCCTGACCTCTTGAGTGTTTTGCAAGTGTCTTTGTGAACTCCAGATCAGTCCCCACTCGCTCCGAGGTTCCTCAAGTCAGAGTCACCCTCATCTTTCCTTATCTCCCTCAGTGGCAGCCACCTCCCCCAAATCCCAATTCACTATCCAGGAAGCTTTTCCACTGCCTCCTCCACATTTCCAGGGAGGGCTTCCTGGTATCAATGTAAAAGTGTTTTCTCTCATGTCACCCTCGCGCGTCTCTGCCCTCTCTCATTCTTGCTCCTTTTCCGGGAAGGGAACAGCTCCTTCCAATCTACCATGTCCAATCCGCTCCTGATTTTCAAACCTCTGTCGGATCTCCTCCTAGCCTCCTTCACTCCATGGAGAGCAGTCCCAGCTTCTTCAATCTAAGGTTTCTTACTCTGGAACCGTTCTCATAAATCTCTTTTGTACTTCAGTGTGTTTAAATCTTTCCTGTAATGTGGCACGCAGAATTGTACACCATACTCCAGCTGAGGTCTGACAAGCTTCTTGCAGAAGTCCCAACATCACCTCCTTGCTCTGGCGCAGTTGTATTCCGTGTAACTATCCAATGTGTAGTGTGTTATGAAGAAATCTAAGCCTGAACACAGTTCTTGACTTGACCTTCTCCTAAATCAGCCTGTTGTGATGTGGTCCTAAGACCACGCAGTGACAGAGAAGGGGGATGAGTCTGTCTGAGGTTTTTGATAAACACTTCCACGAAACTGCTGCATATTTGTACTGTTGTGATGTGGGCCCCGCACATACCATCAGTATGGCATTGAAAAGGACACACAGAGCCAGTACTGTACATAGGAACATGGAACATGGAGCAGGAGTAGGCCATTCGGTGCTCCGAATGATCATGGCTCATCATCCAACTCAGTACCCTGTTCCCCCTGCCTCCCAATACCCTTTAGCCCTGAGAACTGTAACTAACTCATTTGAGAACATTCAATATTTTGGCCTCAGTCACTTTCTGTGGAAAATAATTCCACAGGCTCCCCTCTCTCTGGGTGAAGAAATTTTTCCTCCTCTCAGTCCCAAATAGCCTACCCATATTCTTAGGCTGTGACCCCTGGTTCAGGAAGAATGAAAACAGTGGAATTTCCAAGAAACACTACCAACCGCAACGATGCGATGGAGTGGTACAGAGAGATGAAGGAGTGTTTGCTCTTTTTTTTATCAGAACTTCTCACAGTTTCCACCCTGTAGCCCCTGACTCAAACATTTCCCAAACATCTGAAGAGGAGTCACACTGGACTCGAAACGTTAACTCTGTTTCTCTCCACACATGCTGCCAGACCTGCTGAGTTTCTCCAGCACTTTCTGCTTTTGTTTCAGATCTCCAGTATCCACTGCGTTTTGCTTTCAGTTGAATGTTTTCTTTTCATCTTTCTCTAACCAACAACCATCTTAAAGACATAGGCCCAACCTGTTGAAATTCCCTGTCCCCAGAAAGACCTCTTTAACCTTGCTTTCTATCTTTGCGAATGTCTGTACAATCTGCCCCTCTCCAGGTTTTCAGTCACCTGTCCTAATGTGCTTCGGGGCTAATTTTGATGGAGAATACTCCTCTGAAGCGACTTGGGATGTTAAAGGTGCTTTACAAATGCAGGTAGTTGTAGTAATCTCAGCATTTGATACATGAGTCTTGATATGAAGAGCCCATCTAGATTCATTCATTCAAATCCTCATCAGCTTCAATTTGCTCCTCCAATAATGTCG